TTATAATATTTGGAAGCCAACATTCCTGCAGTAGAAATGGTTTCAGTTTCTGTTTTCACATGTAATTTTTTTTTTTTTGGCTGAATGATTTTATCTAGTTACAAATTGTTACAAGTCTACTCGATTCATTCAGTACAGCCTTTTACAACCACTAAAACATATTTCCCTCTTCTGTGTTATATTATTCAGGTGGCCTAGGGGGTCTGTGTATTGGTGTAGGTGGAGCTGATGCTGTTGATGTCATGGCTGATTTGCCATGGGAACTTAAGTGCCCCAAGGTACATTGTATCACATTGTTTTTTTTCCCTATCATTTTATGCAGTGAAGTATTTTCAAATGCAGATATATATAGTTCAAGTAATTTCATAAGCAGCGCTTACATTGCAAGAATAAAGTATTTGAATGTGGCATCCTTGCAACTGTTGTGCTCAGATAATTGGGGTGTACATGTAATTGTCCATGGTGCAAACAAACTGAAAATTTGAAGGATACTGAGGACTGGAAGAGCACTTCATCTTAATTTCAGTGCTTATCAATGCACTAAGCATTTATGTTTGGCTAATTCAGTGGACTTGATTATTTAGGTGATAGGAGTGAACTTGACTGGAGAACTCAAGGGTTGGACATCACCTAAAGGTAGCAGTCTCTTTTCAAAATCATTGAATGTTTGTAGATGCTATGCTTATCAGCCTTTGACCCTTTGAACTATAAGAGTGACCAGCATCTAATTTCTCTTTACAGTAATACTGCAGAATCATTTGTTGAGATCATGAGAATGTGTGGTTCCAGAAAATATCCATACCCCCCACAGAAGACTTTTTGATTTGCACCCCCCCACCTCCCAGGATTTTCCGTTCCAGGGGATCTTTGATGACCCCCCCTCACACCAGGAGTTTACAGAAATTTAATCGGGGCTTCTTACCATCTTTGAAAATTCAAAGTTGTTTTTGTACTTATAAAAAGAGAAGTGAATACTAAGTTGGTTACGTAAATGTGGAAGAATTTTATTACAACACTGAAAACAATTCAGGCCTTATTCCGCTACTACATAAGTAGGGTTCATTATTGTGAGTATCACTTTCATGCAAGTTAACAATAGTTATCAAAATGTTCCTTCTGTAGATGATTAAAACAAGTTATAATCAAGTTGCTTTGTTATCTTACTGTAAACAAATAATTGGTACAAGTGAAAGAAGTTAATTTCAATCTGTATTAATGTGTCGTAATTATTTTCCTGTTTGACAGACATCATCCTTAAAGTAGCTGGAATCTTGACGGTTAAAGGAGGAACTGGTGCAATTATTGAATATTTTGGACCTGGTGTGGATTCTATCTCTTGTACAGGTATGTTTCTTTAATTTTCCAGGCCATTACAAAAGGCTGTACTTTTAGAAAAATCATCAAACACCTGAAGGTTCTTGTTTTGGAGCTCAGGGGTACACAGCTCGGACAAGTTTTTGCAGTAGGAAAGATTTACAAGTGAACCCCTCCCAAAAATTTAGTTAATGTAAATCCCCTAAGCCCAATGTTCACTATCAGGATACAATAGGTTATGATGTACTGTATATATTTAAAATTGTTCTCATCATACATTTTTTCCTTTACCAAATTATAATTCCATGTTCAGTATTCTATTGATACCAACATGATAACATCAAGCAATTAATCACCATAATCAATTTTAAATGACAAACTAAAATCACAGTACCTGAATAAATTTCTCATACTTAATGACATGGAGTGTTATTTTGGATTTTTATTTTGTTTTGTTTTTATTTTTTGGGGGGTGGGGGTGGGGGGTTAATAAATCTCTACCTCCAAAGAGGGAGGGTGGCTTATTAGAGGGGGGGCTTGATAGAGGAGTTGTGGTACCTCTATCACTCAAGCTCCTCTAGAGCACAATCCCAACTGCACATTAACTGATGCAATACCATACAATTCTTATAAAGTAAAAAGTCAGTGTAATCTTTGATATGGAATAAACCACTTTGACCACTCTGCTTGACAAGGACCACTTAACCAGCTAACTCACCTCATGTAAGGTGGATATCTGGGGTGTCCAGGGGTTTGTACTGTTTTCAGGCATGTCCTAGATAGAATACCACGCATGCCTTGTAAATCCAGCAACCAAGTCATTGAGGCCAAATTTCCGGAGCTTGTCAACTACATGTGTGTTGAATAAGTGGCAGGAAGAAAAGTGGTGTGGTAGGCAGTGATGATGTGGAGAAGAGAGAAGAATGGTTAAAAAAAATATGAAAAGATGTAATAAGAGGGGAGAGATAAAGTGAAGCTTTTAGATTTCAAAACTAGCAGCTTTGGTAACTTCAAGCTAGCTTTGATACTTCCTTACACTGGATGCATTTTCTAATCAGGAATGGGAACAATTTGTAACATGGGTGCAGAAATTGGTGCCACAACATCAGTATTTCCATACAATCACCGTATGGAGTCATACCTCAAGGCAACTGGAAGATCAGCAATAGCTGACCTTGCCAACAAGCATGCTGAATTTTTAAAATCTGACGGTGGGGCAGACTATGATCAAGTTGTGGAGATGAATCTCAGTGAAGTGAGTTGTTGCTTTCTACTTTCCTGCACTAACTATTGAGAATTGTGCTGTACTCTTTGAATCAACTCAAATATCATTAACTGTGTACCACAATTATGACAGAAGTTTATCACACATGTTTTACTGTTGGTGCATGTATTTTTGTATTTATTTTAGCTTGAACCACATGTGAATGGTCCTTATACACCTGACTTGGCTCATCCCATTTCCAAACTGGGGTCAACAGCAAAACAGAGTGGCTGGCCCATGGACATCAGAGTTGGTAAGTTACAACTAACTTCCTCTCCTTCCCTCTATTCATTGTACTTTTCAATCACATTAATTTTTCAAAAGGAATACAAATTTTAAATCTTTGCTTTAAAGATTCTTTTCTAATTTTGGGAAAAAATAATGGAGGTAGTGTCTTTTTAATGTTAGGTCTGATTGGAAGTTGCACCAACAGTAGTTATGAAGATATGACAAGAGCTGCTAGTATTGCAAAACAAGCTCTTAAACATGGACTGAAGTCCAGGTATGAGCCCTTTTAATGTGTTTTTTCAATTTACCTCATTTTGTTTTCACATTAAAAGAGTTTTTAAAATTTATGGTCAATTCATTTCTCTCAATTCTTAGGTCATTGTTTACTGTCACACCCGGATCAGAACAAATTCGTGCTACCATTGAACGAGATGGAATTGTGAGTGTTGCTTATTACTGTTTTATTTCATTTTTGCATCTTTTGGTATTTCTAACAATAGTAGTTCAAATCAGATACTGTCTATCCATCTTCCTAATAACTGTGCTCCAATTTTATTTAGAACTTGTGTGCTGAATGTGAATTTTTATTCTCTTTAAATAATATAATTTAATCAGGCAGAGACACTGAGAGAATTTGGAGGAACAGTGTTGGCAAATGCATGTGGACCTTGCATTGGACAGTGGAATAGGTATGATGACAGTTCTAATATGAAATGAAATGAAATGAAAAACTTTATTTATGTGTCAAATCAATCTAGCCGAGGGTAAGAAACCCT